TCTCTCTTAAGGGTGATTGACTTGATTACGTTATTCGCAGTGAAAGAGTTCATTTGACTTGTTGAGATTTTCTTTGCAGAAAAATGTGTAATGTAGTTCTTCACCACACTCTAAAAAATGCTGGGTTAAATATAACCCAACCGCTGGGTCAAAACAGCCCAATAGCTGGGTTTGTCCCTTTTTAACCCAGCATTTTTTAGAGTGTGGTGAAGAACTACATTACACATTTTTCTGCAAAGAAAATCTCAACAAGTCAAACCGCTGGATCAAAACAACCCAATAGCTGGGTTTGTCCCTTTTTAAGGGAGAATCTCTCTTAAGGGTGATTGACTTGATTACGTTATTCGCAGTGAAAGAGTTCATTTGACTTGTTGAGATTTTCTTTGCAGAAAAATGTGTAATGTAGTTCTTCACCACACTCTAAAAAATGCTGGGTTAAATATAACCCACCCGCTGGGTCAAAACAGCCCAATAGCTGGGTTTGTCCCTTTTTAAGGGAGAATCTCTCTTAAGGGTGATTGACTTGATTACGTTATTCGCAGTGAAAGAGTTCATTTGACTTGTTGAGATTTTCTTTGCAGAAAAATGTGTAATGTAGTTCTTCACCACACTCTAAAAAATGCTGGGTTAAATATAACCCACCCGCTGGGTCAAAACAGCCCAATAGCTGGGTTTGTCCCTTTTTAAGGGAGAATCTCTCTTAAGGGTGATTGACTTGATTACGTTATTCGCAGTGAAAGAGTTCATTTGACTTGTTGAGATTTTCTTTGCAGAAAAATGTGTAATGTAGTTCTTCACCACACTCTAAAAAATGCTGGGTTAAATATAACCCACCCGCTGGGTCAAAACAGCCCAATTGCTGGGTTTGTCCCTATTTTACCCAGCACGGGGTTGTATTTAACTCAGCATTTTTTAGAAAAACCAACATCTTCACATTAATAACATTATATTTCTCCATAGTTTTTATTAGATTTGTTCATCTGCAATGCTTCATGGGATTGTAATTCTTTTGCTCATTAAAGCCGTCAAATACACAGTCTTGTATCTTTGTCTTTTTGCGTGATTTTCGAATAGCTTTTTTGTATCAAATTAAAGGTTGTAATGTTGTGAATCACCTCGCTGCTGGTTGGTTTGGTTCATGACATAACTCCTAAAGACTTTTTAAAACCATATGGAAAAAATGGGAAAAATGCTCGCTGAAAAAGTGGGTGGGCACTGCATTCTATTAAGAAGTGGCTGACCACTGAATACCATGATTGGCCAATCAGAATAGAGTATTCCTGAGTGTGTGCAATACAGTTTATATGAAGGTGTTTGCCAATGATGTGTTGTGTGGACTCTCTGTCAAGCACATTTCAAGTAAATAACATTTAACTCAAAATAACATTTTAAGATGATATCAAAATGCCAATAAACACACAATACCAGTACAACTGAAATGTTTATTGCATTTTTTTCACTGTTGTATACACGTCTTTATTGTGAATGTGCCCCTAAACGGTTACATACTGTAAGGCTGTCAGTGTTGTGCAAACAAAAAAAAAGTTATGAAGTGGGGATTCAGATCTGATGACTGTCTGAAAAGACATTTTGGACATGATGTATCAAGAATCACATAAACATTTAAATGACAAGTTAATGGCCTGTTTTCCAGCATGTATGTTTTCATTACTGTTCCCTGCTTTCATAGCGCAGCCATGCCCAAACCCTGTGGCTCCTCAACATGCACGCATTCAGCCCCAGCAGACTCAGTATATCATGACAGACACTTTCAATGTCACGTGTGATATGGGCTATGATTTAATTCTGGTAACCTTTTACTTTCTCTAAGATTTAAGAAAAGGAGTTTGGTATGCTATTTATGGACTTAAAAGTGACTTTTTGCATCTTTAGGAGGAAGAAGCTTTGCCCTTTTATCAAGTCACATGCCTGAAGGGTGGATTTTGGAATGGACCAATACCTCGCTGCATCAGTAAGTTGTTCAAGAATCCCAGATAAGCATGAAGTGTACATAATCGTCAATGGGGGTTTACTTACGTACCAAAGAGGAGGTACGTTTTAAAACCTGAGGTGCTATTTCAAGCTGAAGTGAGTGCAATTCTTACTAACTCAGAAAATAATTCTGTGATGAAATAGTGATGACACTTATAACAAAAAGCATATTTTTAATCCATTTAGGATTTGCAGTTTTTCATGAAAAAACAAAGTAAAGATTACTTCAGAATACTTGAAACATAATTATGTGACTTGATTTTAGAGAAATCTGTTTTTCTTACCTCAATGGCAAAGATTTTTAATTAAATTTTTTTTGAGGTGTGGATTAATTTGAGATGGTCTCTAAAATACATTTTTTAGTTGTTTTTCAAGTACATTTGTTTTATTCTAAGTACATTTCAACACTTTTAATAGGAAACAAAACTAAAATTAAGAAACAAAACTATAAATGACTTTTGCAGGGAAAATGGTGCTTAAACATTGATGATTAAATATTCATAAAAATACAGTAGAATGCAAAAACAACTGGTATAGTACTCATAGTACACCTTTAAAATATTTTGGAGGTCAAATAAATAAAAAAAGATCAAAATTTTATGTTGACAGTTCATTGCAAATTCTCAGTTGGCTCAGTTAAATTATGTGAACTGAATGTCTTTTAGTTCAAACAACTGAACATTTTAAATGCAATGATCAACATAAAATGTTGAGATTTGACCTCCAAAATCTTTTAGTGTACAAGGTGTAAAATGTGAGAAAAGAACAAACATAAATAATAGGAAGAAAAGAAAAATAGATTAAACTCAACATGAAAGTAACAATAATCGACAGTATACAGAATTTAAGAACCAGACATTCAACTTAAAAAATGGATATGCTTAGGTTTCACCAGCATCGTCATTCATTTTGTGTATAGACTGTGTCAATGACCAAATGTCCCTCTTTTGCAGTTGTTGATTGTGAAGATCCTGTAGAAGTGTATAATGCAAGTGTGAAATTCACCACAACCACATATAAATCTGTGGCTAAGTATTCATGTGATGAATTCTACACAGTGAAAGCTGGAACAAATGGTAAAGAGTAAATGTCGCAGTATTTGGATAGCTACACATTGTACTACAGATCAGTTATCACTTGAGGTTTACATTGTGGAGGAGCCTTAATCTTTTTCTCTCTGAAATTAGGGGTCTATTCCTGTGCACATGATGGCTACTGGAGAGATGCCCTGGGTGCAAAAATACTCCAGATATGTTCACCCAGTGAGTTTAATCCATATGGTGCATCTGTTTTTACACTACATTATCATGTTTTATTATACATTACCATCAAAAGTATGGACACATTTGACTGTTTTTCATGATCTTAAAAAAACTTTTTATCAGAAAGGAATATGCTCAAATTAGTTTTGTAGAGAAATATAATTTGTGCCTACATTTGAATTTCTTTACAAAACAAAAAAATATAAGTTCAAAAAAAGTTTTAAAATGTTTAAAAATCCTGAGTGTGCAGAGTTGTAATCTAAAAGGTTGTGCCTCAAAATCAGTAATTTAGTATTTCCATTTGTGTTATTTCATAATTTAAAGCAATGGCCCTCAACCAAATGACTTAAAATAATTTAAAATAAGATTAAAACAACTAAAGAAATTAATCTATTGCTTATTTTTATGTATGTATGTATGTATGTATGTATTTATTTTAATATTACTTACTACATTTTTGGTCTTTGAAGAACCAGGATTCCCAGTCTTGGAAAACCTGGATATATGAGGAAGGCTAATTGTAAAGTGTGATTTCTAGACCTGGGAAAGTCACGTAAATGATTAAAATCTTAACTCCATGAGCATTTTTAAAATGAATTTGCATTTTTCTAGCTATGCCAAGCTCTAAAATATTTTATTGGGTAGAAATTGTGATAAAATTGTATAAATCCAGTATCCAGTTAAGCATGTCTTTCACTGCGAATAACGTAATCAAGTCAATCACCCTTCAAATTACTTAACTGCATATGTTGCAGTAAATGTAAAATATGTTGCTTCTACACACACTCTAAAAAATGCTGGGTTAAATACAACCCAGTGCTGGGTAAAATAGGGACAAACCCAGCAATTGGGTTGTTTTGACCCAGCGGTTGGGTTACTACCCAGAAGGTTGGGTTAAACATTTAACCCAACCGCTGGGTCAAAACAGCCCAATTGCTGGGTTTGTCCCTATTTTACCCAGCACGGGGTTGTATTTAACTCAGCATTTTTTAGAAAAACCAACATCTTCACATTAATAACATTATATTTCTCCATAGTTTTTATTAGATTTGTTCATCTGCAATGCTTCATGGGATTGTAATTCTTTTGCTCATTAAAGCCGTCAAATACACAGTCTTGTATCTTTGTCTTTTTGCGTGATTTTCGAATAGCTTTTTTGTATCAAATTAAAGGTTGTAATGTTGTGAATCACCTCGCTGCTGGTTGGTTTGGTTCATGACATAACTCCTAAAGACTTTTTAAAACCATATGGAAAAAATGGGAAAAATGCTCGCTGAAAAAGTGGGTGGGCACTGCATTCTATTAAGAAGTGGCTGACCACTGAATACCATGATTGGCCAATCAGAATAGAGTATTCCTGAGTGTGTGCAATACAGTTTATATGAAGGTGTTTGCCAATGATGTGTTGTGTGGACTCTCTGTCAAGCACATTTCAAGTAAATAACATTTAACTCAAAATAACATTTTAAGATGATATCAAAATGCCAATAAACACACAATACCAGTACAACTGAAATGTTTATTGCATTTTTTTCACTGTTGTATACACGTCTTTATTGTGAATGTGCCCCTAAACGGTTACATACTGTAAGGCTGTCAGTGTTGTGCAAACAAAAAAAAAGTTATGAAGTGGGGATTCAGATCTGATGACTGTCTGAAAAGACATTTTGGACATGATGTATCAAGAATCACATAAACATTTAAATGACAAGTTAATGGCCTGTTTTCCAGCATGTATGTTTTCATTACTGTTCCCTGCTTTCATAGCGCAGCCATGCCCAAACCCTGTGGCTCCTCAACATGCACGCATTCAGCCCCAGCAGACTCAGTATATCATGACAGACACTTTCAATGTCACGTGTGATATGGGCTATGATTTAATTCTGGTAACCTTTTACTTTCTCTAAGATTTAAGAAAAGGAGTTTGGTATGCTATTTATGGACTTAAAAGTGACTTTTTGCATCTTTAGGAGGAAGAAGCTTTGCCCTTTTATCAAGTCACATGCCTGAAGGGTGGATTTTGGAATGGACCAATACCTCGCTGCATCAGTAAGTTGTTCAAGAATCCCAGATAAGCATGAAGTGTACATAATCGTCAATGGGGGTTTACTTACGTACCAAAGAGGAGGTACGTTTTAAAACCTGAGGTGCTATTTCAAGCTGAAGTGAGTGCAATTCTTACTAACTCAGAAAATAATTCTGTGATGAAATAGTGATGACACTTATAACAAAAAGCATATTTTTAATCCATTTAGGATTTGCAGTTTTTCATGAAAAAACAAAGTAAAGATTACTTCAGAATACTTGAAACATAATTATGTGACTTGATTTTAGAGAAATCTGTTTTTCTTACCTCAATGGCAAAGATTTTTAATAAAAAATTTTTTGAGGTGTGGATTAATTTGAGATGGTCTCTAAAATACATTTTTTAGTTGTTTTTCAAGTACATTTGTTTTATTCTAAGTACATTTCAACACTTTTAATAGGAAACAAAACTAAAATTAAGAAACAAAACTATAAATGACTTTTGCAGGGAAAATGGTGCTTAAACATTGATGATTAAATATTCATAAAAATACAGTAGAATGCAAAAACAACTGGTATAGTACTCATAGTACACCTTTAAAATATTTTGGAGGTCAAATAAATAAAAAAAGATCAACATTTTATGTTGACAGTTCATTGCAAATTCTCAGTTGGCTCAGTTAAATTATGTGAACTGAATGTCTTTTAGTTCAAACAACTGAACATTTTAAATGCAATGATCAACATAAAATGTTGAGATTTGACCTCCAAAATCTTTTAGTGTACAAGGTGTAAAATGTGAGAAAAGAACAAACATAAATAATAGGAAGAAAAGAAAAATAGATTAAACTCAACATGAAAGTAACAATAATCGACAGTATACAGAACCAGACATCCAGACATTCAACTTAAAAAATGGATATGCTTAGGTTTCACCAGCATCGTCATTCATTTTGTGTATAGACTGACCAAATGACCAAATGTCCCTCTTTTGCAGTTGTTGATTGTGAAGATCCTGTAGAAGTGTATAATGCAAGTGTGAAATTCACCACAACCACATATAAATCTGTGGCTAAGTATTCATGTGATGAATTCTACACAGTGAAAGCTGGAACAAATGGTAAAGAGTAAATGTCGCAGTATTTGGATAGCTACACATTGTACTACAGATCAGTTATCACTTGAGGTTTACATTGTGGAGGAGCCTTAATCTTTTTCTCTCTGAAATTAGGGGTCTATTCCTGTGCACATGATGGCTACTGGAGAGATGCCCTGGGTGCAAAAATACTCCAGATATGTTCACCCAGTGAGTTTAATCCATATGGTGCATCTGTTTTTACACTACATTATCATGTTTTATTATACATTACCATCAAAAGTATGGACACATTTGACTGTTTTTCATGATCTTAAAAAAACTTTTTATCAGAAAGGAATATGCTCAAATTAGTTTTGTAGAGAAATATAATTTGTGCCTACATTTGAATTTCTTTACAAAACAAAAAAATATAAGTTCAAAAAAAGTTTTAAAATGTTTAAAAATCCTGAGTGTGCAGAGTTGTAATCTAAAAGGTTGTGCCTCAAAATCAGTAATTTAGTATTTCCATTTGTGTTATTTCATAGTTTAAAGCAATGGCCCTCAACCAAATGACTTAAAATAATTTAAAATAAGATTAAAACAACTAAAGAAATTAATCTATTGCTTATTTTTATGTATGTATGTATTTATTTTAATATTACTTACTACATTTTTGGTCTTTGAAGAACCAGGATTCCCAGTCTTGGAAAACCTGGATATATGAGGAAGGCTAATTGTAAAGTGTGATTTCTAGACCTGGGAAAGTCACGTAAATGATTAAAATCTTAACTCCATGAGCATTTTTAAAATGAATTTGCATTTTTCTAGCTATGCCAAGCTCTAAAATATTTTATTGGGTAGAAATTGTGATAAAATTTTATAAATCCAGTATCCAGTTAAGCATGGACAACTGGGGCAAGGCCTTTGAAAATTGTGATCAGAAAAGGTTGAGAACCATTGGTTTGCAAGCTTCACTGTTATTCTAAAATGTGGAAAAGAGCAATAATTAAAAAATATGTATGTATGTATTTATTTTAATATTACTTACTACATTTTTGGTCTTTGAAGAACCAGGATTCCCAGTCTTGGAAAACCTGGATATATGAGGAAGGCTAATTGTAAAGTGTGATTTCTAGACCTGGGAAAGTCACGTAAATGATTAAAATCTTAACTCCATGAGCATTTTTAAAATGAATTTGCATTTTTCTAGCTATGCCAAGCTCTAAAATATTTTATTGGGTAGAAATTGTGATAAAATTGTATAAATCCAGTATCCAGTTAAGCATGGACAACTGGGGCAAGGCCTTTGAAAATTGTCATCAGAAAAGGTTGAGAACCATTGGTTTGCAAGCTTCACTGTTATTCTAAAATGTGGAAAAGAGCAATAATTAAAAAAAAAAATTAGCAAGTGTGTCCACATTTTTTACTTGTTTATATCAGTGTCATATCTTTGATAGATTTTCAATGTCATATGTGAGAATAAAAAAAAAAAATTAGCAAGTGTGTCCACATTTTTTACTTGTTTATATCAGTGTCATATCTTTGATAGATTTTCAATGTCATATGTGAGAATACAAAAAAAAAAGTGTAAACACTTATTTGCTGTTTGCTGTCTCTTAGTTTGTGGACAGTCTGAGATTAAACTATCAAAGGTGATTGGCGGGGAGAATGCAGAAAAGAACGAGATTCCCTGGCAGGTCATGATACGATTGGGCCATCGGTTCATCGGTGGCGCTTCTCTTGTTTCGGACAACTGGGTCCTCACTGCTGCTCATGTCCTGAAAAGCTACACAGATACTTCCAACCTGCAGCTGAAGATGGGCATAGTCCAACAACATGACGAGGCGGTAGTTGGCATTCCACAGAAAGTCTTCATTCACCCTCAGTACCATCACGATAATATTAACTTCAACCATGACATTGCCCTGATTAATCTGGAGTATAAGGTACCTGTCAGTAAAGCCGTCATGCTTGTGTGTTTGCCTGGGAGGCAAGAGCGGTTTGTTTTGAAGGCTAATGATGTCGGGAAGGTGTCTGGATGGGGTGTGTCGAATATAAACAGACCTGCATTATTCCAATAATCTCCAGTACGTACCTTTACCCGTCACTGATTTTGAGGACTGTAAGGCTAAATATGACTCCACAGTGACAGCTAAAGGGAAACTAGTAGTGACAGAGAACATGAACATGCCAGGGGGACAGTGGAGGGCTCTATGCGTTTTTTGACACACAGAGTAAAAGTTGGTTCATATAGGCGGTATTGTGTCATGGGGGCACGGCTGCGCCCAGCCTGGGTATTATGGGGTTTATACTAAAGTGAGCAATTATCTTTCATGGACTGAAGAAATCATGTCCGAAACCAGCTGAACCGTTTTGACTTTGATTTGATATGAATTTATAATTGACCAAATTATCTTTAATTACTTTTACATAACAGCTTTGCATGTGACATCTCAGTCATAGACTATTGTTGTTTTATTAATCTTTTTTTTTTTCTGCAGCGTTTTGGTTGGCCCCATTTTTAAATGTGCTATATAAATAAACTAAACTAGAGGCACACAATTTTGAATAGTTTAAATGTGTGTGTGTGTGTGTGTATATATATATATATATATATATATACACACACACACATCTTTTTATTCATTTGCTTTTTTTTTGGAGGGGGGGGTGTATAAAAAAAATATATATAGTTAATAAATAAATGCAATAAAATATATAAATATAAAAAAATAAAATACTGTCAAAATACTTGATCACTAAATTTAATTTAAAGTATATTTATTAAGTTACATAAAAAATTGTAATCGAATAGTTCTGGTTCTGAATGCAGTGTTCGGTTAATAATTTGTTGGTTTACATGTCAGGAACCGTTTCTAGTAGAAAGATGTCACTTAATGAATGTACTAAATATAATATAGTTTAATAAAAGTTATGTCATGGTAGTTTTCTAAAAGAAAAAAGGAAAACAGAGGGCTTGCTATATTGTGAATTATTTTATGTTGATTCATAACTATTTTCTTCAGCGAAATAATTAAATAATGAAAATGGCATAACCCAGAGTTACTCGTTTCATTTTCATAAAGCTGGTGTTAATGCAAAGGTGTTTGTTTAAAAGTCAAGTAAGCTCAGGCATCATGATTTACAGTCATTAGGTTCTTTTGCATTATGCGTCTGATCTCAAGAGTTTCTCTTGTTGTCTTCTATCATGGGGGACTGTAGGGTCTCTCCAGCCCCACGTAATTACCTCTCCAGTGCTATTTTGGCCCTGTGGAGTTTTAATCATTCTCAAGCCTACTTAAACCTGTGTCCTATCACATGAACTTGAAGCATGAATATATAAACAACTGAAAGTTTACTGCAAATGTTGCATGCATTCAGAGCAACATTCATATCAACATTTACTATTTAAATACATTCCTAACTAAACAAAAACAACAGTGGTGCTTAAGACAAGCATCACGATTACTATTGCTTGGGATTTAAAGCCTGATGTACAGTATATAATAGTCATGATGTATATATAATAGAATAAAAAATGGAACAGCTTAGACAAAATATAAGATAGTTTTCATATGTGTTTTATCATATTTGATACATCAGGCCCATATGGTATGATATAATGAGAATGTAGCTCACATTCAAGGACGAAAAAACAGGCCTAAACTGAAAAAAAAGCAATTTGGCAGTTTTAATATTCATATGGCCAAAACGTAAGCTGAAATTGTGATAGCTTGTAATGGAAATTAATAAGAATTTTATAACTTTGGCCCTGTGGAGTTTTAATCATTCTCAAGCCTACTTAAACCTGTGTCCTATCACATGAACTTGAAGCATGAATATATAAACAACTGAAAGTTTACTGCAAATGTTGCATGCATTCAGAGCAACATTCATATCAACATTTACTATTTAAATACATTCCTAACTAAACAAAAACAACAGTGGTGCTTAAGACAAGCATCACGATTACTATTGCTTGGGATTTAAAGCCTGATGTACAGTATATAATAGTCATGATGTATATATAATAGAATAAAAAATGGAACAGCTTAGACAAAATATAAGATAGTTTTCATATGTGTTTTATCATATTTGATACATCAGGCCCATATGGTATGATATAATGAGAATGTAGCTCACATTCAAGGACGAAAAAACAGGCCTAAACTGAAAAAAAAAGCAATTTGGCAGTTTTAATATTCATATGGCCAAAACGTAAGCTGAAATTGTGATAGCTTGTAATGGAAATTAATAAGAATTTTATAAGACTACTTGCATAAAATCATATAAATATCAGTTGTCACTTTATATCGCCCAATAATATGTCTTAGTAAGATATTTGAATGCTTTCATGAAAGCTCTGTAGTTTTAATTGAGGGGGGAAAACATATAATGCCATTCATGATCATTTTGAGACAAATATTTATAAACAAATAAGGCCTGTTGATACATTTTAACATGATTTTTCTAAAAAAATAATGTATGGATAATCAAGTCACCTTTAATTGAATAGCGCTTTATACAATACTGATTGTGTCAAAGCAGCTTTACAGGGATGTTTAATCATTTAAACCTAAGCTGCGTCAATTTAGTAAATGTTCATCTTGAAATATTAATAACAGTATGAAAATTATTGAAGATTTCACAGCAAAAATACGTGCACCTTAACCTGAAGGTGGACATTTTTCTTTACAGGCCTTAGAAATGTATGTATCAAATACAATACAGTAGGCTTTAATAAAGTAGGGTTAAATATATATTTTACAACAGCTCATTCTGTATTCTCATTTATTATTTTAGACATATTCTTCAACCTGTAGTCAGTGAATGATCAATGCAGTGGGGTTTTGCCCTGCATGACACAGCCAATCCATCATGCAACAACAGACCCTGGTTGAAGCTGTGGTCACGCTGGTCTGGTAGAGAGTACATAATTCACAGTTGATTTACTTGCTTCTGGTGGTCAGAGCTCAGTGATGTGAGGACAAGGTGGTCGCAGTGTCACGCATTGATCCGGCTCACTGACATTATACCAACAATCACAGACAGCTAATAAAAAGGTTCCTTAACAAGAGCATTTAAACTCGCTACTTAATTCCTAATACGTCACATTATTAAGAACAGAAGAATAAGACTTTACTGTTATAATTACTCAAAAAATTAAGTCTATTAAAAATATAAGGTAAAAATGATCAGAATAAAGACATGACTGTTGTAATACTGAGAAAAAATGAGTAAAATCATCTGTTAAGGGTTTCAAGAGAGGAAGCCCATTACTAGAACAGTTCAGTTGGGGACTGCATATGTAATACCAGTCTAATGAATTGCCCAGGAACATCTCTACATCCTGTTGATGTGATATTCTGATCATTGGCATATAGTCTAACAAAGGCCACAATTCAAAAATTCGAATCAATAGTACATCACAGCCACAAAACAGCACTAAGACTGGCTTCACAAACCCACCCGACACCAATCAAAGCCTACACATGCTCATTACAACGTAAGGTAGAACTACATCTGCACAGAAATAGATTGTTTTAACAAGACATTCATGGTGAAAAGGAACAGACCAACAGGTCTCTTCATTAGTTTATTAACATTGAAATTGTATCTACATACATTACCATACTCGATGCTCTCTGACAAGCTGAAATATTTTTTCCATTCCATTATGTAACTCGATTTATATTAATGCCCAAAATTAAATGTCAAAATCTTTTTAGTCTAAAAATATTATTTCGTATCATTTGACGTTTCAACAAGTGCTGCAAACAGTTTCACAGAAAAAAAATAATAATTGTGCTGGCCACAGGCTAGATTGCTAACATTTCCAATTTGACACATTTAGTGAACCTTGTAATACAATGGTAATACATTGCTTCCCTAAGGAATATCATAAAGTAGCATTATATGCTTCTAATAGGTATTAAAATGTCATATCTGCCAGCGTATACTACAGGTATCTGGTACAATCAATAATGAATCATTTACCTCCCTTTTGAAATACTGTAATTATAACATTACATTTTCGCTAAACTGTTTACTTGCTTTAATTTTTTTTCTTTCATTAATTAACTTGTAAATGACATAGTATAAGATTATCACCAAACAATGTTCTGAATGAAGGCACGACTCTACAGGCAACAGATAAGAAACATGGAATTTCAGAAATCAAAATGAGCACCAGTCTGTATGTTTTCCTTGTTTACAAACATAACTACTTTTATTACGCTTTGGCATTTTTATACACTATACTATTATCAAAACAATTACTATCCAAAAATTGGAAAAACACTGTCTGCATTCATTTTTGTTTTACATGGAATGTAATGAAGCAGTCCACAAAAATGTGACCCTGGACCACAAAACCAGTCATAAGGGTCAATTTTTTGAAATTTGAATTTTTTTTTTGTGGAAAATGAATAAATAAGCTTTCCATTGATGTATGTTTTGTTAGTATAGGACAATATTTGGCTGAGATACAACTATTTGAAAATCTGGAATCTGAGGGTGCAAAAAAAATCTAAATACCGAGAAAATTGCCTTTAAAGTTGTCCAAATTAAGTTCTTAGCAATGCATATTACTAATCAAAATGTATGTTTTAATATATTTACAGTAGGAAATTTACAAAATATCTTCATTAAACATGATCTTTACTTAATATCCTAATGATTTTTGTTATAAAAGAAAAATCAATAATTCTGACCCATACAATGTATTTTTGGCTATTGCTAGAAATATACCCGGTGCTACTTAAGCCTGCTTTTGTGATCCAGGGTCACAAAAATAGAGGTTTGTCAGTGTGTGTGTTTTTTGCATCGTTTGGCTCGGGTCTCTCTCTCAGTGTGTGCTTGTGAAGTGGACTGATATTGAGCACTGAGGGATTGCAGGGCTTGAACTCGCTGTAGGCATTTACTGAGCTCACTTTCACATGCCTGGACCAGTGCTGATGTCCTTTCACCGTCCCAGCCCAACACCTCCATCATGACCTCCACTCGATGCCCTGCTACCATCTGCATTAAAAATACATTCATATGAGACAATAACACTAAACCATATGGTTTTAAATATGCAAATACAAAAATGTCCCTGTTTTTATTACATAATTACTATTTTATAAAATAACAATTAATTATTAGGGTTTTTATAAAAAAATTTTTTATCAAACTGAATAACAGATTAATTATACTCCTGTGGCTGAAAACAGTAAGAGACCCCTACTAATATATGACTGAAAGTTCAGTCAACATGACACCACAATTAACCCTAAGCAACGTCTATTTTTCACAAACCAATCTCCAACCAAGTTCTGCCTTACTTTTATTTATTTTTTCTTGTTGAATATCCTGTTTCACTCTGAAATGTTGTATTACGCAGGAAGAACAGACTTTGAATGATGTTCATATTGACTTCCACTCACTGGTGTGAAATAATGATAAATATGCTTAGTTTTTACACCATTCTTAAGAAATTGTGGGAGGTCTTACAACACTGTCAGATGTCATACCTGTAGCTCTTCATTGGATAGTCTGGTCTCTGGGTATTTTTTGTCCTTCAGGAGCATTAGTGTTGTGGAGCTGAACCCTGCTGCGGCCTCCACCTGCACCCCATCTGTCTCATCAAGTCTAGCGCCTGCAGCAATGACAGCGGTTAACATCCTGAAAGCACTGGAAAGATTAGGGCTGTCACAGCAACAGATAAGCTGTTGATCATCCAAGCTGCTACTTTTCTTCATTCCACCAAGTACTGATAAAATGAACTAAGAAATGGCTAAGCGATGCCATCTAGTGGGAGCAGAGTCAAAGCAACATTGAAGGAATAGTTCACCCCAAAATGAAAATTTGCTGAAAATGTACTCACCCTCAGGGACAAACAAGATGTAGATGAGTTTGTTTCTTTATCAGAACAGATTTGCATAACTTTAGCATTACATCACTTGCTCATCAATGGATCCTCTGCAGTGAATGGGTGCCGTCAGAATGAGAGTAATGACAAAAACATCACAATAATCCACACAACTTCAGTCCATCAATTAAACATCTTGTGAATTGAAAAGCTGCATGTTTGTAATAAACCAATCTATTATTAAGATGTTTTTAACTTTAAACTGTTGCTTCTGGGTAAAATAGGAGTGTTCTATCCGTAAAATTGCTTTCTCATTAAAAAAAGGCTTCTTGTCTAAATCAGGAGAGAAATATGCACAAATCAAAATGGTTCTAAACAAATATGTTGGTGGATTTTGATATGAGATAACAAGAAGGGATGGACTTTTTCACTGTCTGAAACTTTTATGGATTATGGGCCCGTGTTCTGGTCAGAAACAATGGTTTTAAAGTTAGAATGCCTTAATGGTGAATTTGTTTCTTACAAACATGCAGCTTTTGGCTTCACAAGACATTAATTGATGGATTGTAGTTGTGTGGATTATTGTGATGTTTTTATTAGCTGTTTAGACTCTCATTCTGACAGCACCCATTCACTACAAAGAGGATCCATTGATGAGCAAGAGATGTAATTTTCCAAAATGTGTTCAATGAAAGAAAGAAAAAAACAACAACTAAGGAACCATTCCTTTAAATAACTTGCTGTGACTTTACTTGGGAATTTTTCTTGTATTGCTGGTATCTAAAATATGTCCCTACTATCTTCTTGTGGGTCCCAGGTGCTTTCTCGCTCCATGGCTTTCAAATAGAGCCTCAGTAACTCTTTGGACTGTCTCTCTTCTTCCCTGCGGTCCAGCATTCTCTGCAGCGTGTCCTGTAGGACCTGGGTTTTCTGCTGTGAGAAGTCCAACACTGCAGCCAGATCTGAGCATGGCACATCAATCAAACTCTGTAACACACATTTAAACAATTATTCTCTGTAAACCGCAGTACAACATTGGCTGTTTACACACTATAATCATACATGTAAATGATAATAGTCAGATATATCGCAAAATAAAAAGCCACTAAGCCAGAATCACACAGACCTGTAGATCTGCCTCGGACATGAGGATAATACTGGCCAGGTCCTGTCTGAGCTGTCCTGCCAAACTGCGCCAAGATTCAAACCCATCAACAGTGTCTTTTCCATCTACCTCCAGATCAGTGGACTTTCTGCAAGGCTGTGCTGTCCCTCCAGCAACTAGACAAAATAGACCTGTTTAGATTAGTAAGTGTGCTGAACAAATATAAATAAATAAATACATAAAAACAAAATCCTGGAATAGGTTATATTTCACCTTGATGAGAATGCATCCATATTTCGTCGGCATGTAACAGCATGAATTTTGTATTTGCTGGCAGACACATGAAGTAAGCCTCATCTTCCACAATAGTCCCATCAACTTCTAGCACCACTGAGACTGATGCACTGGGTCTGAACCCTAGAGCCTCACCACCTGTGGGTGACAGAGATGAGGAGAATGTGTCAAATAACAAATAGAGCATAGGATGAACAGTCAACTTTTAAAAACAGAGAGAGAGAGAGAGAGAGAGAGAGAGAGAAATTAAACATTCCTGAATCAATTCCGAAAACACGTATATAATTTTTTTTTATGTTGAATTATTAATTTTATATATATAATTTAGTTTATACTTGTCATTATTATTACTTTAATTACTAATAAGTAATATTACTAATATTATTTATCTAGTCATCTTTAAGTTCTAAAATTATTTTAAACTTGACTCTAACGTATATTTTCAAATTATGCCTACTACGAAAAACACTTTAAATGACCAAATCATCTATTTCATAATTTCATCTGAAAAGGCTATTTACTCCGTTCAGGCTGAAAGGTACTCTATTTTCAAACACACCTTTTATTTTGAGCTGATCCAGAGAGGTTACCGCCAGTCCATAATGCTTCTCTCGGCTAATGTTACACACTTTACACGCTTTTAATTCTGCCATGATAACAGTCAAAGTTTAAAGTGTATAATTAAGTATCTTCAAAGCTTCATACTTTGTTCTTGGATATTATTTTTGTGTCTAAAACCTCATAATCAAACCTCACATTACACGTAATACTGTCACTATAGTCTCACAAAAAAATGGAAAATAAATACATTTCGGCTTCCGTGTTTTGAAAGGTGCTGCTCGAATCGGTAACAGCTCGTTGACCTTGCGATGTGAATGAATCGTTCTTTTGATTCAAATCGTTTAAATGAATCGGTTGAACCGATTCACAAAGACGGACTGAGCTCTTATTCACTTTTCTGATCTCGTTTTTTGAAACGAACAGTTCAAATGAACCGATCAATGCAAATGATTCGAACTTCATATCACTAGTTCAGACTAAAGTAATCGAGCACTGCTGAAGAATCAGCGTCCTTAGCCTTCTGGCTAACAGCTCTGAGAAGATGGCATCCCCGGACCAACCTGACCACCAAAATCAGGTAGTTGATAACATTCATCCGTCTAACAACATGCATTCAGATTGTTCGGCCGTGGACCTGCATAGTAAATGCACAATTTGGCACGCTTTAATTATTGGTAAGCTCATAATCTGGCAGTCCCATATTGTTTTGGAAAAGTTTTAGCTGATTTGCTAGCGCCCTGTTCACTGTCTCATCCCATGCAGTTAGACAGATGTGTGTGACAGGACTTGGGAATTTTTCTTGTATTGCTGGTATCTAAAATATGTCCCTACTATCTTCTTGTGGGTCCCAGGTGCTTTCTCGCTCCATGGCTTTCAAATAGAGCCTCAGTAACTCTTTGGACTGTCTCTCTTCTTCCCTGCGGTCCAGCATTCTCTGCAGCGTGTCCTGTAGGACCTGGGTTTTCTGCTGTGAGAAGTCCAACACTGCAGCCAGATCTGAGCATGGCACATCAATCAAACTCTGTAACACACATTTAAACAATTATTCTCTGTAAACCGCAGTACAACATTGGCTGTTTACACACTATAATCATACATGTAAATGATAATAGTCAGATATATCGCAAAATAAAAAGCCACTAAGCCAGAATCACACAGACCTGTAGATCTGCCTCGGACATGAGGATAATACTGGCCAGGTCCTGTCTGAGCTGTCCTGCCAAACTGCGCCAAGATTCAAACCCATCAACAGTGTCTTTTCCATCTACCTCCAGATCAGTGGACTTTCTGCAAGGCTGTGCTGTCCCTCCAGCAACTAGACAAAATAGACCTGTTTAGATTAGTAAGTGTGCTGAACAAATATAAATAAATAAATACATAAAAACAAAATCCTGGAATAGGTTATATTTCACCTTGATGAGAATGCATCCATATTTCGTCGGCATGTAACAGCATGAATTTTGTATTTGCTGGCAGACACATGAAGTAAGCCTCATCTTCCACAATAGTCCCATCAACTTCTAGCACCACTGAGACTGATGCACTGGGTCTGAACCCTAGAGCCTCACCACCTGTGGGTGACAGAGATGAGGAGAATGTGTCAAATAACAAATAGAGCATAGGATGAACAGTCAACTTTTAAAAACAGAGAGAGAGAGAGAAATTAAACATTCCCGAATCAATTCCGAAAACACATATATAATTTTTTTTATGTTGAATTATTAATTTTATATATAAAATTTAGTTTATACTTGTCATTATTATTACTTTAATTACTAATAAGTAATATTACTAATATTATTTATCTAGTCATCTTTAAGTTCTAAAATTATTTTAAACTTGACTCTAACGTATATTTTCAAATTATGCCTACTACGAAAAACACTTTAAATGACCAAATCATCTATTTCATAATTTCATCTGAAAAGGCTATTTACTCCGTTCAGGCTGAAAGGTACTCTATTTTCAAACACACCTTTTATTTTGAGCTGATCCAGAGAGGTTACCGCCAGTCCATAATGCTTCTCTCGGCTAATGTTACACACTTTACACGCTTTTAATTCTGCCATGATAATAGTCAAAGTTTAAAGTGTATAATTAAGTATCTTCAAAGCTTCATACTTTGTTCTTGGATATTATTTTTGTGTCTAAAACCTCATAACTCACATTACACGTAATACTGTCACTATAGTCTCACAAAAAAATGGAAAATAAATACATTTCGGCTTCCGTGTTTTGAAATGTGCTGCTCGAATCGGTAACAGCTCGTTGACCTTGCGATGTGAATGAATCGTTCTTTTGATTCAAATCGTTTAAATGAATCGGTTGAACCGATTCACAAAGACGGACTGAGCTCTTATTCACTTTTCTGATCTCGTTTTTTGAAACGAACAGTTCAAAAGAACCGATCAATGCAAATGATTCGAACTTCATATCACTAGTTCAGACTAAAGTAATCGAGCACTGCTGAAGAATCAGCGTCCTTAGCCTTCTGGCTAACAGCTCTGAGAAGATGGCATCCCCGGACCAACCTGACCACCAAAATCAGGTAGTTGATAACATTCATCCGTCTAACAACATGCATTCAGATTGTTCGGCCGTGGACCTGCATAGTAAATGCACAATTTGGCACGCTTTAATTATTGGTAAGCTCATAATCTGGCAGTCCCATATTGTTTTGGAAAAGTTTTAGCTGATTTGCTAGCGCCCTGTTCACTGTCTCATCCCATGCAGTTAGACAGATGTGTGTGACAGGTGCAGGCACAGAGAATAGCGCATACAGGACATTCCACTGCAGATACCAATGTGTCAGTCTCTGTGAAATAATACAGGCGCTATATGGACAGTTATCCAGTAATGTGCAGTCAGGGGTCGTTGACCTAAAAACATGACACATTACACATTCACCCCTCCATGTGCTCATCTGTCTCAGTAAAGAACTCAATTTGATCTGTATACAGTCGACATATAAGCATTATTTATGCAATGTATCAGCAACGATTTAAAGAAATAGTTCAACCAAAAATGAACAGTCTGTCATCATTTACCCACCTTCTTGTTGTTCCAAACCTAAAGGTATGTTAGGGATATGATACTTTAACATATTCAGGGGTGATGCAAAATAGTTGAAAAATCAGTAATAATAAAAAAAAAGCCCCCATCAAAGTATGTAAACACATTCATTTCAATTGCATTCTTGACTGAATTAGTATCAGAACATGTCTCTTATTTGTTTCAGTCTGTGTGCTTATATGCGTTATATTTCTAATAAAGATATTTAGAAATGATATGAATTGACATTTTCATTAATTACATTTTTATATTTATTCTTTTTTATTAATACTTCAATCTGTTAATTCAACTTTTATTACTTCTATTTTTCTTTACTCATCTTCTAAAATGTTAAACTTGACTCGTACTCATATTGTTCTTTAAATTATGTAAAGTACTTTGAATTATTAAAGCTTAAAATGTGCTATATAAATCAACAAGGAATAAAAGGGATAACAATCTTTCATCATGTTTTAATTATTTTAATTGGGACACGAGACCAGATGTTAGGCAGAAGGACATCCTCAATCACTATTCATTTCCAGTGCATCTTTTTTCTATGATTTATAAATTTTTTTCAACTGATGACAGACTTTTCATTTTTGGGCTTGCAATCTTATTAACTAAATGTTCTTAATGAATTTAATGTCTCAGCTTGTCTCAGCAGGATGTGGATCTTGCATTATTATTCCTGTACATTTTCCTCTATTAAAATACTGTTATGGAAACGTTTGTCATAAATACTTGCATAGCAAATATATGAATTTTATGACTGTTTAAGATATGCTTATTTTTAATTAGTTTTTTTTTTGGAAGTATGTTGTATTCTGTAGCTGAGTTTTGTTCGATCAGTGTATCAACCCTGTTGGTGCAGTGTGAAAATAATTCTTATCACACTAAATCTGTTGCCATCTTTCTTTAGAATGTTTGAAGTGTTGCCGTTTGTTAGAGTGTGTTTAACCAGCCTGGATAAGAAGTTAAGTGTGATGATATTTGGTCTGTTTCTGAGAGTAATGAGATGCCTTTAGTTACAATCAGGTTAGGACAGTCAGACAGTTAGGGTTAGTGGAACTTGAGTTTAACCTTAAGGCAAATTTAGTTTTGTATGGGCAAAGAGACATAAGGACAATTAATCAATGTGCCATCAGTTTATCTCAGACTTATTATAGGTAGATCCTGTCATTTCAGCCCTTAATTTGCTCTTTGATGATGCTATTTATTGTGATTCATTTCTGAATATAAAGGAGGTGACTTTGTACACTACCATTCAAAATGTTGGCATTGGTAAGACTTTTGGTTTTGAAAGAGAGACTTATGGTTTTGAAAGAAGTCTCACATGCTCACCAAGGGTGCATTTATTTATTTCAGAAAGACAGTAAAAATCATAATATAGTGAAATATTGTTGCAATTTCAAATAACAGTTTATTTTTGTTATTTATTCCTGTAATGGCAAAGCTGAATTTTCAGCGTCTTCAGAAACGGTTCGATGGCATTTTGTTTTCATCTTCGCTCCATGTAATACCTAAAGGAAGTGTTCTTAATCGCAATACTGCTTTGTCCACGGAGGTTACGGGAAACAGCTCTAATTCAGCTTTCCCCTAAGCGCCACCTGCTGTCAGCGAGTGGATTTACACAGACTTATATTTACATTCAGCCTGTGTGCAGAAAACAGACCAAATTTGCATGCCCTGCTGTAAATTTTGACCGGTTGATGGAAAACAAGCTTATGTGGATTCTACACATTTAACCAATTCAGATAAGTTATCTAGAATTATTTATGGAGCAGATAAAATACATATAATCATTTATTAATCAATTATCATTTTGACTTATATCTTTTCTTTATTTAAAGGCTGAAATGTGAGGTTTACCTTTTTATTAAACTTTTTAAAAGCTTTATTTGAACATCTACATTAGATATTTCGACATGCTATTAAACTGTTGTCAGTCAAGTTGTCATTTAAAATCCGAACATCATTGGTAATGTTATTGTTTTAGTGATTATGCAAACAAAAAGTCCTTTTATTTGTTGTTTGTTGATTTCTAAATGTAAAACTTGGTGAAGTGATGTATGTGTCATTACTTTTTTAACATCTCCAGCACATTTGAACAATACCGTGATAATACCGATAACCGTGATCATTTTGGTCACTATAATCGCGATAATAAATTTTCATACCGTTACATCCCTAGTTGGAATCTCTGTCATTTAGAGTCTGTACTGTACTGCAATAGACACATGTGGATGTCATAAATTCTGCCACTAGATGGCGCTGTAACACAATGCTGCTGTTTCTTTCAGAACGCTGCTCCAGCCAAAGACGCGGCTCCAAGAGAAGCGCAGGTAAGTGATTGTGAGTCAGACTAACTAGCACACGTTACTCTGTACAGGGATTTTATAGGAGTAGAATCAGTTTGAAACAATTAATAATATTTGAATTCATTTGGTTTGCATTGTTTTTACCATATGCATTGAACGCAATGGGAACAAACAGAATTTAGCAAAAATTGTATTTTGTACTGTTCTTACTGTTATTTACATATTTCTTCTTGGTCATTGCTGCCTTTATTATATTGCTGTTTTTGTAGAAACAGTAACTCAGATGTTGCTGTATTTTACACAGAATTTACTACTTTATTAGTCTTGTTGGAGTCTATAGGTACACTACTGTTCAAATGTTTGGACTCAGTGAGATTGAATGTGTCCTTTCTGAGAAAAAATAAATATTTAAGGACACATTAAATTGATCAAAAGTGACAGTAGAACATTTCTACTTCAAACAAATGTTGTTTATTAGAACCTTATACTAAGCACCATTTCCACAAAAATATTAAGCAGCAGAACTGTTCTTAACATTGATTATAATAAGCATATTCTTGAATCAGCATATTAGAATGATTTCAGAAGGATCATGTGAAACTAAAGACTGGAATAATGGCTTCTAAAAAAATCAGCTTTACCATCAAAGGAATAAATTACATTCCGAAATATTAAAATAGGAAATGTTTAGTTTAAATTGTAATAATATTTCACAAATTTACAGTTTTTATTGTATAAATGCAGCCTTTGTGAGCATGAGAAACTGTTTTCAGAAACATAAAAAAAAACGTACTAACGCCAAACTTTTGAACAGTAGTGTAGGAGCATGATTTTTCATTGATAGAATGTAATTCTCAACATGTCAAAGGTGTCATTGACTGATTTTCTGAAAACAATTGACCATCAATTAGTAGATGATTTGCTAGCAGGCAGTTTTGTGTTCACTGGATATGATTGTATATGAATATGAGTAATGCTCACCCATCCTCAGTAGCGGAACTGCTCTCTATATTGTATTGCTTTTCAAGTAGGAAGTTCTTGGATTATCTATGGCACATTTACTATCATTGGACAATTAGGCTGTGTATTGTGCGGTTTTGTGTGATGTGATTTTCCGCTATGAATGATATCTAGCCATGCTCAAAGCACTGTCCTTAACAGCGGGGAAAAATGTTGATTATTAAGGCTTCTTGGCTTTCTAACTGCTTGACAAGTCCCCCTTTTTTCCTTTGCTTTTCTCTATTTGATGAGCTGTTCTTTCCCAGTTAAGTGGATTATTACAGCTCTGGATAATTCATGTCACAAGGCATTATTTGGATGGGGTGAATAATTGAAATCTGTGTCTGAAAGGATTTGATGTGGATGAGAGGAAGGGCTGGAGGGAGGCTCTGAGCGCGAGTGCCGGGGTGTCAGGCTGGGGACAGCAGTCACGTTAACAGGTTCTGACTCACCTCGCCGGATGGGCGGCCCTCGCTCCTCGGTGGCAGGCGACTCTGGCTGGAGTCTGAGCCAGAGCAGGTTTGGACCTGCGCTGCACTCTGGCCTGTCAGTCAAACCCAGTACCAGTCGTGTTCTGGGTTGAGCTCTCGCCTCCAGGGGCTGTCCTTCCTGGCCTGTCCCTCTCCCACACACTGCACACTACTTCATTATTTCTTTATTTAACCGCCCCCTCACTTTTTCCTTTCCTTTCCTTCCTGTTCCTTTCCTTCTCCATTTCCTTTTTCACTTTCATTTTTGTTCTTTTCTTTCCATTTTCACTTTTATTTTCATGTCCTGTACATTTCCCTTTTTTCCACTTTTATTGCCCTTTGCTTATGTTTTTCCCTTTACATTTCCCTTTCCTTTTCATTTCCATTATTTTTCTTACTTTTACTTTTTTACCTCGTCTTT